TTGGATTTTTTTTAAAATTGTTCATTTTTGAAAATAATTATAAATTGACCCCTAAATTGATAAATATTTATCAAAAACATCCAATTTGTAGTTTTTAACATTTTTAGATATACTTGGTATATGTCACCATGTATTATATAATCGTCTGTATAGTTCATAACACATTTATATACTTATGATGGTTTGCAACATATTAGTCAATACTTGGTGTAGGTAAGAATAATTTTCCATTGAATTATTATCCAGTGTTGGAAATCAAATTATTAATAATTTACCAATCTTGGAAATCACTCATGATATATATTCAAGGTTCTTTTTCCATGTATATTGTATACTCGGTTTTTGTTTTAGAACTCTTAAATTTTAGAGAAATACTACTTTTTAGATGTCACCTTTCAAAAATACCATTATTTAAATAAAAAAAATCAAAACTGCCACTAATAATATATTATTTACTCAAAATATCATTTATATTTGAGCTAACTATGTTCTGTTAGAATTTAGTTTTTGAGGTTTAGGATTTGTTAGAGTCAAAAAAAATTTAAAAATTAAATTGTTTATGGTTTAAAGCTAAAAAAATCTTTAATTTGTGGCATTTTAAAAAATAGATATTTTAAAGTGATTTTTTTTGCAAAATTGTATTTCAATCTACTTTTTTATTATTCCTTGAATGACAATGATCATTTAGATTTTAGAGTAGTAACTTTCAAATAGAGTCTTGGGCCAAAGGATTTATTTTTTGTGCAATCCCCATTGGGATTAGAGTTTTGGAACGAAACATTACAATTTTTTTCCTTCTGAAATAAAATTTCAATGTAATGCATATTTTTAACATTTTAATTCATGGATACAATATAATTATTTTTTAGAAATCAAAAACTAACACAAATGGCAAGAACTACACGAGTAATCCAAGAATAGAGAAAATAGAAAAATGTGGCACATAAATTTTCAAATTCGAAAAGGGTTGTTCGTTTTATCATCCAAACGTAACGTATTTTTTTTTTTTGGGTTTAAACATATTTGTGTCATCAGAACAAGTTTTGTAAA